CCCCCCCATTGCGTGACGTTATCCCCGAACTTTCGGTAGCCCTCCCTCGGACCCCTCTCGGAAGACCAGGGTTAGAACTGGTCTTCTATACCTACTGTTATGAAAAAAAGTTATGTAATCTTAACATCATTAATAACTGTCATATTACGTATTATTTCTTTGTTAGTTATATTCTGCCTTTTATGGAATTAGATACTTATGAAATTATGTTATGAATCTATATGTTATATATCTCAATGATAAATTAAGTTACAAACCTGACAGGTATCTTTACCACCTTCCATTACACCAGCACAAAGTAGATTTGGTATAAGGCCTTGAGGTAATCGCCGAGAACCAAGGTCCTCGGCGTAAGCTTTCTTACAGTCATCCTCAGATATATAATCCAATTGAACTTTCATTAGCTCATTGCTACCGATGTCAGATTCTGCACACACAAATCGCGATAAAAATTTTGCATATACATGCAGTATCCCAGAAATCATCGAGGTCTTAAAAGGATGTTGGAGTGTCTATAAAACTATATTCGCATTTACGTCATTTAGACTAAACTAATCCGAAAGCGCTTTTTCATGTTTAAAATACTAATTGAAACATACTGTACTGACATAATCTTTTCATCGAAATAAAAAAAAAAGTTTTAAGTTAGGTGTTTGCTAGCACAATTTGTAAGTTATATAAAATTTCTGCGATGCATAAAATAAAAGAAAATGCGCACTGCAGAATGCTCTTGGGAGTAACGTCTAATCTTCAAAAATATGCTTAGAAGCTTAAGCATCTGCAGGAGTTACATTAGAAACATCTCGCGGAGAGCCGCGAACTAGCCAAACGAAGAAAATAAATTTTGGCCAAAATATGAAAAGAATCGCTTTATAATTACAATAAACTGCGCTCTCGATATTTTTCTTTCCGGAACGAAAAAGACGCGCAGGTTTCGAACGCCCTTGGACACAGTACAATTGGACACGTTGCAAATGGATACGACACTTGACACACGGTTCAATTGGACACGATGCGTTTAGACACGAGACTTTTGGCACAGTTGCTTTTGGACACAACAGAAAATACATGACATTCAGTTACACTGTTCATTTGGACACCGTTTAGTTGAACACCGTTTACTTGGACACAGTTCAGTTGGACACTGTTCAATTGCCCACTGTTCACTTGGACACAGAAGGGTGCGCACTGTTCGCTTGGACACCTTTCACTTGGACACCGTTTACTTGGACATCGTTCATTTGGACACCGTTCATTTGGACACCGTTCATTTGGACACCGTTCATTTGGACACCGTTCACTTGAACACGTTCGGTTGTCCACTGTTCATTTGGACACCGATCAATTGTCCACAGTGCTTAAGCATACAAAAGACTGCGGCCCCCACCCGCCGTGGTGCGAGGGGTCTGGGAGGCAAAGCCCCCCAGCCATATCGCTAGAGACAGGCATCTTTTTATTAATATTGAACGGTGGGCAATTGAACGGTAGGCAATTGAACGGTGTCCAAATGAATGATGTCCAAGTGAACGGTGTCCAAGTGAACACTGTCCAAATGAACGGTCTCCAAGTGAACAGTGAACGATTAAACGGTGTCCAAGTAAACAGGCAAGCAATTTCACGGTATTCAAGTGAACGGTGTTCAAATAAATAGCATGCATCGTTTTGTGTCCAAGTGAACAGTAGGCAACTGAACGGTGTCCAAATGAACAGTGCGCATTCTTTTGTGTCCAAGTGAACAGTTGCCAATTGAACGGTGTCCGACTGAACTGTGTCCAAGTAAACGGTGTCTAAATGAACGGTGTAATTGAACGTCTGTATTTTCTCATGTATTTTCTCGTGTCCAAAAGCAATTGTGCCCAAAAGTCTCGTGTCCAAATGTACCGTGTCCAATTGAACCGTGTGTCAAGTGTCGTGTCCATTTGCAACGTGTCCATTTACAACGTATCCAATTGTACTGTGTCCAATTGAACCACTCACGGCACACAGTGTGTCAAAAAGCACATTTTGGTGGACAAAATTCTGCCTACATCGCAAATCTGCATCAATTTTGATAAAACTTTTTTTAAAATACTTGTGAATAATTTAGTATAATGTTTTATTGCCAAACATTTGAAAAAAGCAAACATAACCCCAAAGAATAACTCCAAACTCTATTACTTGTTACCCCTAATTCGATTACATCAATCTTCATAACACTATGATTCGTACTCTATCATTCAAAACCATAACTCATAAACCTAGATTAGTTAGAATTTAGATTAAACCCGAGTTTAATAACCCTAAACCTCATAACCACAATCTCTATAATCGCATGATCCTAAGTCTCATATTCGTAAAGTCTATGACCCCATAAGCCTAAATTCCATAATCATAAACTCTAAGCTCCATAACGTGATAACCCCGGAATTCATAAACTCAGAACCTCAAACCATAATCAGGTTTTCAGGTTATGGAGTTCAGGAATGTAAGGCTTAGTGTCACCGAGTTATGAAGTTTAGGATTATGGAGTTTTTTTAACTCGTGAGTAATCAGGTTTAAAAGTTATGAGACTATAAAGTTTGGAGTGATGGCGTTTCGGACCATAGTGTTATGAAGTATGAGGTCGAATTAAGGGTAATAGGTAATGGAGTTATTAGAATTAAGGTTATTTTTTGGGGGTTATGTTTACTTTTTCAAATTTTTTACAGTGAGATATTATAGTAGAACTATTTACAAACATTTAAAAAAAAGTTTCATCAAAATTGATGCAGATTTGTAATGTAGGCAGAATTTTGTTCACCAAATGTGCTTTTTGGCACACTGCGATGTCTCGCCGCCACCTAATATGCCTTCCTCCTTCTATCGTGAAATTCCCCAGATGCATTACGTCCAAGCACCTGGGGACTACCAAAAAATTTATGTCGACCCCGGGACTTATTTGTATTATTTACATCGGATGAGAAGGGGCAACAGTGGAGACGGGCATACATGGACAGCAGGTCTTAAAGGATAGCAACCTTTGCCTTTGAGATTGACAGCTGTACCACCTGGCACAATAACATTGTTTCTCTCTGTAGTCGCCGTGCGCTCGGGATCGTGCCAGAGATGTCGCTTCCGAACGGCATCTCTGAGCGTTATCTAGGGAGAGGAAAATGAGCGTGGAGCGTCAGGTAGTTTAGTAATTTAGAGCAGTCGCCCGGCAAACGGAAGGATTCGAGTCCCGTCCTAGCAAACCGTGCTCTCGATATTTTTCTCTCTCCGGAACGAAAAAGACGCAGGTCTCGAACGCACGGCGTCCCGCCATCATCTAATACGCCCTCCTCCTTCTATGGTATAATTACAATATTTGTAATCAGGAAAAACGTCCGCAAGTCGGTATAAAGCGAATTTGGGAAAAAAGATTGAAATAAAAATCAAATAAGTTATTTAGGAACAAATAAAATATGGTTTTCGTGACAAACGTTGCGTCTTCAAAGCATAATATCTAATCTAGAACATGCTTGCTCGTACGGTGCGCTACAAATGCATACGCGACAATTATATTTCAATAAAAATTTATGCATACTCGTATTTGTAAATCTGGTAAAAATCTGGTTGTACATGGACATGGATAATGTAAGAAAATGGTCTTCGTGGTAAACAATGGGTTTCCTAAAAAAAATATCTATGCGGAGATCGTCGTCACACGAATAGATAGGACAGTCTGTGTGCACAAGTGAAGGGAGAAACACGCTTGCTAGCCCAAGTTTGAATACACATTACTGACGAGGTTGTGTGGTACAAAAGGCCCTCAATTAAAAAGGGAACATTTTAGATAAAAATCAGAAATTAAAATAGAGTAATATAAATGTTTTAACACATGTTTTAGTGCGATAAAAAACTAATAATAATATTAGTAACCGTTCTCTCTATACGATGTGAGAGGAAGAATTAATTTATTCATTATAAAATGATTAAATGTCGCCATACCCATTTTGGTTTATTCGTGGACCCTCCTCATTGTAAAAAAAACGAAGTTATACAAAAGATAAAACAATATGTTAAATACAATTACAGAATGTAGATCCCAAATGTTCGCATGCCGGAAATTGAAGGATACATACATAAAACTTCAAAAGTTACGAGAGTAATCCTCTCTGAAAATTTCAAAAAATCATTTTTTTACTGTATATTTTAAAAGCGTTATCCTTTACGCATATTTTGAGTCTTGAACGATTATAAAATTCAAAAAACTTACGAAGTTATAGCCGTTCAAGCTTCCGCTGGTTTCTGGTTCTGTCCGCTCGGTAGTGTGAGACGTCGCCGCTCGGTATTTCCGAGATACATATCTGCTGTAGATACTCTATTTCGTATTATATAATCACTATATGTTGTATTATCTATTTCTAAATCATAAATATGCGGACCTGTTCATTGGAAGAGGGTATCTAGGAATCGTTGAATTTGAAGTTTTGTATCTGCACACTAACATATCTTTAACCTAACATATCTTCACACTAATGTAAACATCGAACCTAATTTCGACCAGTATTTTACATAGTCTATTCGATATATTGTGACGTGACGATTTTTGAGGATCGTCCGCCACTGGGGGTTGCTAAGGAAACAGAAATGCGCTTCCGAGCTGAAGTGTGGGGGTCGCGTCCTAGCCGTAAGGCGAGGGAATGCGCACCCGTCTATAGCGAAAAATATATTAAAATTAAGAGCGGATGGTCGAACGAGCGTCTTGTGACGCTCGTTCGACCGTCGGACGCTCGTCGGAGTCGATGAGAAGAAGAAGCTGCGACCACGGGCGGAAAGGAAGAGAGACGACAGGTTGGAAGCCGGAGATCAGATGAATAATTTCCGCAATTTGGGGGTATCCCTGCTAGAAAGGGCAACCGATAGGGCTACATGCTTTCAGAGCCAGCACTACGGAGCTACCGGGATCTTGACATCAGTCGCCGATTGAGAGAGAGAGAGAAAGGGAGACTGGGAACTGCCGCGAGGAAACCGCAAGGGCGTAGCGGATCGACACTGCGGACGAGGACAGCCGCGGCCAAAGTACAGCGTCGGCCAGCGAATCCTCCGCGACCCGGAGCGCCCGCTGAGCTAGCACGGACTCTGCGAGGCTCCACAAGCAACTTGAAATAACGGCTATCGAAGATGCAAGGCCCAAGGAAACAACAAATTGATAAGCTGCCGTTATGCCAAACAAAGAAGAGAAAAACAGCGAGGCAACAAAGGCAGATAAACGGCTCTGGAGAAGTAGCCAATCAAAGGTCGCCAACTGGTGAGAAGAGGGATCAAATTGAGAATAAAATCCGGCCTCGCAAACCAGCGGGAGCTCTCGTGTTTTCGCAGTGGAACGGCAAGGTGTAAAGGACGTGACGCCTACCAACCTGCATCAGCAAGGACGACGACGCCGACGAACGCCGTAAGGCCGACTCCGCTCGAGGACTAAGTTTG